CAAGGAGATATTAAATTTATTTTATATAAAAATATATTATGTTGCATGTCATAATTTAATATCATAATATTTCATAAATTTAATGTTAAAAACTTGTACAAGAAAAAGACAATTGAAATTTTAAGAATATTCTTACACAAAGAGATTTTATATTTAAGACAATTTTCCCCATTATTCAAATAAAGCAACATATCTTACATAAGAATTGAATAATATCCTACATAAGAATGTGTAATTGAGTAATGTAATAATTTTATATAGACACATACCCACATATCATCACATCTCCAAAAATCAGTTTGACAGATATACAAAATTCACTATAAATATAAATTCACCTTGACAATTGGCATCTTGTCTAATAAGTTTTTGAACTTTATTATCTGTGATCATTTCATACTTATTGTTAGATTTTAGATTTGTTTTTGTCCACCTTTCATGGTTTCAAGTTCTAATGGCATATTTTACAGATAAATGATGACAGTGTTTTTCATTTCCAGTCAAATTTTCCCAAGTCTCTGAATGAATTCTGATTGAAATGCAATAAATCTTAAAATTTTACATGCATATACATGCTAATTTTTTAACTTAGTACCATAATTATTTTAGATATACATCCGTATCAAGCCACTTCCAACAACCCGTTTGGCCCATATCTAATATTCACTGATAATAAAAACAACTCGATGATACCTATGAAAATACTTGAAAATTACTAGTCTTTAATGTATTTTAAGACCTGCAACATTTATATTAAAAAGTGCTCAATAGATAAATACCACAAGAATAATCTATAAATTAAGTTATTAATATTTAAACAACTTATATTTTGACCAACTCTAGAGATTCAGTGTCAACATAAATAGACTCTGCTTCACTTTGACAATTAGCATCTTGTCTAATAAGTTTTTGAACTTTATTATCTGTGATCAATTCATACTTATTGTTAGATTTTAGATTTGTTTTTGTCCTCCTTTCATTCAAATTGGTTTCAAGTTCTAATGCCATATTTTACAGATAAAAGATGACAGTGTTTTTCATTTCCAGTCAAATTTCCCCATATTTCTGAATAAATTCAAACTGAAATGGAATAAATCTTAAAACTAATATTTACATCTATATACATGCTAATTCATTTTATGTAGAAGTGTGAAAATCAAACACTTCAAAGTTTTATAGAATTTAAGGGGAGAGAGATATACATCCCAAAATGAATACATTCATAAAATTGGGGAAGAAATCACTGAAAGGAGGAAATGTTCATGCAATTTGTATTATTTTATTGGGAATCCTAGAAATGTTATAAAACCTATGTGAGTTATGTAAACAGAGTACCCATTATTCATATTGATATCCTGCTTAAATTAATTTTCGTAAGTCATGTACATAATAATGTGATCTACTAAAGCCAGAAAAGTAGTTACCATAAATTTGTGTAAATCTTTTTTATAACTTAACCTCTTCAATTGTGTACTTCTAAAGTTTAAACTAAAATTAAAGAATAAAAAAAAAGTGAAAGCACTTCATTAAGGGAATTTCAAGGAGTCATTATATAGATAAACTGAAAATTTTAAGTAGTCTTAATATTATCAACTAATGTCTCAGACTATTCTGTTCATACAGAACAACTTTGGGGTAAATTTCTTTTTATCTCAAACTCATTGCAGAGAAAGTTCTTTTCTGTATCCTTCTAAGCAGATGGAATCCCCAGGAATATTTACACTAGAAAAGTCACAAATCCAAGGAACAACTATTAACAGTAATTTTCAAAAGAAATTCTAATGTAAAATATTTAAAGCAAGATTTTATTTTATTTAGAGTTTTTAGCTTTGTGTATAAAAATTTGTATAAATCATTCCTTTTATAAAAATCATTAGCTATTCTTTATTTTCTACTATGTATTATTTATAATATAACACTTACTTTTGTTTTTTAAATACATCAACTCACCTTCAACAACCAGCTTAGCCCAAGTTGATGTCTCACCATAAATGCAAGTATACTCTGCTTTGTCTTGAATAGTGACATCACGAATAATAAGTTTCTGAACTTTTTTATCAGTCACCATTTGATATTTTTGGTTCTTGGACAGTTTTTGTCCTCCCTTCATCCAAATAGGTTTCAGATCCTCTTGGGACATTTCGCATGTAAAAATTGCTGTCTCTTTTTCTTTCACTGAAATCTCACTGAGTTTCTTAGTGAATTCAGGTTTAAAAGCTACAAATGTTAATGAAATTTGTCAGTTGTGCATTTTAGAAACACCGACAGATATTATAGGATTATTATAATATATATCTGGGTAATATATAAAATCTAAAGTGTTTTCAAACACTATTTGATGAATAAACATTTTTTTTTCTCATAAAACAAATTTTTGCTTACTGATCAATATAATAACCTATATAAGAATTCAGATTGCAGTTTTTTAATGTGTATCTGGACTTTTAACTATATAATTTAAGAGAATTCAATGTGTTATATAGTTGATATAATGCAATATGTAAAATTTCAGATAGAATATATCTGTAAAAGGAAATATGAATAAAGACGAAAGAAAAAGTTCTTTTAGTTGATACATTTCATCCTCTGAGGGAATTTTTATCAAGGCAAATGCATTTTCCTTTAGTCTTTATTCAAAATATAATGAATAAACATGTTCTTTTAACTTATATCTCCAAGGAATATTATCCTATAATAATTTTCTCTTGATAAAAAATATGAAATATCTGAATCAGCATTCTATAAAAATAAAATCACTTTTTATTGCATAAATAAAAAGTGTATAAAAATCTATATAAATTCAAGAGTCTATTTCCAAAATAACAATAAATTACTAATTAATTTTAAATAATTCAAGTTTGGATTGCAAGAAATTACCATAATTTATATAAACTAAATACTGAATTATTTTTTTCCACAAAAACTCACCTCCAACAACCAGCTTAGCCCAAGTTGAGGTGTCACGATAAATGCAAGTATATTCTCCCTTGTCTTCAGCAGTGATATTGTGTATTACAAGCTTTTGAACATTTTTGTCTGTAATTATTTCATACTTGTTGTCTGTTGTTAATCTTTGTCCACCTTTCATCCAAATAGGTTTCACATTTTCCTCAGAAAATTCACAGCTAAAGGTGGTTGTGTCATTTTCTTTCCCCCAAATCTCACTAAGATTTTTAGTGAAGTCAGGTTTATATGCTACAAATGTTAAAATAGATATTTATATAAAAATATATATATATATATATATATATATATATATATATATATATATATATATATATATAAATAAAGGTATAATTTGGCAGCAATAATTCTCTCAAACAGATTTGGTTAAACAATATGGACAAGTCCTGTCTATCAATTTTTTTATCTAATTTTAAAATTTCTGAATTAGGCATTTTGGGTTATTGGTAAATTTGACAAAATTCATATTTATTTTTATCTTTTCTTCCCAAGTACTTCTGAATGTTGCTACATTCATTTCCAAGGATTATTTTGTGTATATTTTATATAGATAGATAGATATCAAATATGGATAGAAATATGACAAAATGATAGTATAAAGAACAAGTAGGAAACAGATCTTAATCTAACATATTTCACTTTATTAAAGCTTTGTCAGAGATCAAGATAGAAATGATAAATGCATTTATCATTTCTATCTTGATCTCTAACAAAGCTTTAGTAAAATGAAACATGTTAGATTAAGATCTGTTTCATACTTGTTCTTTTTCCTATTATATATATCTCAAATGTTTATTACAATTTAAATCTAGTATCTAGTAGTACACCATAAAAATAGTAGTTTTATTTCTTTATTGAAGGTCAATATCAGTCAAACAAGGATAAAGTTATAAGAAGGGAAAGATTTAAAATGGTTTTTTAGGGCATTCAGACTAAAATGGAAACAACATTAATTATTGTGGCAATGAAGAAGAAAATCAAGTCTGACCCTGAAAAAGAATTTGTGTTCTCTGTGCTAAAATCAGAATCAGGTTCCAGAGTATCCCTGTGTCTAAACATGTCAAAAATGAATACTTACTTAACCATGATGTCACTGGAGCCAATAGTCCACAATAATGACATGGTACATTACAATGGACCTCCTGCTACACAAGGTCACCGTTATGATATACCACTACCAAGTCTAACTGAATAGCTAAAAAGTACAAGACTGCATGTATAGGATACCCAGTGAGTTTAAACCTCATTGAGTACTGCAGTCTTGAAGCTTGTGCTGCTTCTTAGCTATTCAACAACTTATATTGGTATTCATTTTTGGCATGTTCAGACATGGGATACTAGAGGACCCAATTCTGTAGTTTCTTTTTCAACAGATATCACAGAGAATTTGAATTCATTTTTGAAGTAAGACTGGGTTTTCTCCTTTCTTACCACAATTATCATAAGGAATTTATATACATGCAATATTTGCTTGGAGAATAGTTTACTGATTTACTGTTGAATGTTGGTAATCAAATATTTCATTCCAAATCAAATACTAATACATGATGCAAAATGGGAATGGAGCAACTGGACAGTAATTTAAGGTAAATATATTTATGTATAAGGGTTTGTATACTAAAAGGAATAAAATCATCAGTTTCAAAGTCAAACAATGCAAAGATATATTTATATGGACAAGAGAACAAAAATCTCCAGGGAAATAATAAGGATCTTAGGGTAGATAAATCAAATCTCCAAAAAATTCAAGAATTATATAATGATTAAAAATGTACATTCTACATGTTATGAACATCAGATAAACAATGTATTTGTCAAGAGATGAATGATTTACTTTTTAGATGATTTTTAACTTATAGACTTACCAGGTTCTATGACTATTTTACCACATGCCACAATAAATGGGCAATGAATACATGCATATATTGTCACCAAATATTTTACTATGTTAATTATTTCTCTTAATACTAGCAAACATACTATTCAGAAAATTTTATGCTCTAATTTTAAACAAAGACATGCCATTATGACTATCACTAATTATTTAATTTTCTTGGCCACTCACCTTCAACAGCCAACTTGGCCCAAGTAGAGGTATCTCGATAAATACATGTGTATTCTCCTTTGTCTTCAGCAGTGACATCATGAATGATAAGTTTCTGTGATTTCTTTTCTGTAATCATTTCATGTTTCTTGTCTGCTTTCAATTGTTGTCCTCCCTTCATCCAAATTGGCTTCACATTTTCTTCAGACAATTCACAGACAAATGTTACTGTTTCCTTTTCTTTTACCTTGAGATCATTGAGTTTCTTACTAAACTCAACTTTAACTTCTGTAAATAAAATCAATAAATTATGAAACAAACTAATAAGCAATTTATAGATATCATTATTTTCAGTAAGCATCAATAATTGCAATATTAACATTATTAAATTTAGTACTAAAGATTTTCAAATTAAGTATAAAAGATTTTCAATCATTATAAACTGGAAGGTTTAATCAATTTCTCTTGCAATCCATTATTTGTGAAAAAAACTCCATTATATTTTTAAAAAAATATAGTCCACATTGCTTTGAAGTAATTTAAATATAACAAAATGTTAAATATTAAGTTTTTTGCAGAGAACATGGATTTACAAATATTTTTTATCATAAAACTAAACTCTTTAAACAATATATATATATATATATATATATATATATATATATATTGAATAAAATCGGAGGAAAAAAGTTGAATTTATCGATTTTTAGTTGGCTTTATTGATTGTTTTTTTTTAAAAATTATCAATTTTTTATGCTAAGAACCTATCTCTTACATTGTACAATGTATGTGCCAAGTTTGGTCAAAATCAGTTGAATGGATCTCGAGTGAAAAGGTATAACACAGACAGACAAACACACAGACATCCTGTTTTATATATATATATAGATAAACAGTCATTTTATACCACAGGTATAGAATAAATTCATGAAAATTTGCTATATTTTCTTTTTACCTCATCTTATCTAAAGGTCTTCTTATATGTGGAAATATACATTACATACATTAGTAGAATAAACAGATATACATTAATACATATGCTTTCAAAATACAAGTACATTAATCAATACAAGTTTAACACAGAAACAAAGGAATTCATAAATTTGTTCAATGCACATATATATACATTAATGTTAATTGGGATCAAATAGGAATTAGAATTTAACAGAATGATGGGATAAGGAATGAATAGGAAACATTTAAAAATTTAATGTTTTACTTTTATTTAAGATTCATCAGAAACTTTTTTGAAATAAATTATGGAAGTAATTTCAGATAGACAAGTTCAGATAGGTGACAACTAAAGTTGCACAGTTGATAATCAGTAATTTCCCAATCATGACTCCCATAACCTCTGAGGTTTGTAGGGATGCCACATATACTACAGCTGGAGTGACAGTGGTGTGTCTTGGACAACATAGACTGATGGAGCCCAATCCTCTCCAAGATGGTTTGAATACAGAAATTTTTGGTTAAATAGAGCAGAGGTTATAGAAACTCTAAGTTTTAATGTAGACAAGATAAATTGCTTTGTACAAAAGGCTAGGGAGAAAAAAAAACTGAATATTCGAGAAATATTATTAAAGAAAAAGATGCGCCCGTCAGCTGAATTTGAACCTGTGTTCCCCTTTGCAGGAGAATTTGAATACTGCCAGAGGTCGCATCTTATTCTTTAATATTTCTCAAATATTTGGGATGGTAGAAAAAAAAAAAAAAAATATACTATTTAAAAGATAAACAGACCAGCTAATGAAATATAGGTATCCACTAAAAATAATGTTTAAAGTGATAAGAGTCTGTCGGATTAATAAATAAAAAATCAATTATTTCACTCTCCATATATATATATATATATATATATATATATATATATATATATGGGGAGAGAGAGAGACAGTGAGATACAAACATACAAAAAATATATACATTCATTCAATAGATACAAAGAAATTGTATTAAAGTTACAATATCAAATACAGACAGTGTAATATAAAACATTTTCTTACATGAATACATTGGCCCAAAATATATGCACAAATATATATTGGCTCAATGTATATACATATGCATACATATAAAAAAAAAAAAAAAAACAAATATTGGTCCAATATACATACATACATACCTGAATACATATACATACAGGATTACATACATTGGTTCAAGTGAAAGAGTAAATTGTACAACAGAGATCCAGGCACATTGAAGAAAAGAGAAAACAGTAGACTACAACTGTTAGGATAAAAGGGTATACACATGCTAAGGTGAATTGTCATTTGTGCTCATTTCATGCAGGGTTCTACTTATGACAAGAAATCTGGTTTTGGCAACAAAATTAAAAAAAAATACACATTAAAATAAATTGTGATGAGTCCTTAATTCTATCAAGAAAACTCCCAACAATAGCTTCGTAAAGTTGTTTTTCATTGTATAAATATTCCCTACAACCAGACTTCCTTAAATCAAAAGTTCATGCCAATTGACACTCAACAATCAACATGCTGAGTTTCAAAAATTAGATAAGTAATTGTTAACTTCTAAAGAAATATCATTATCATCAATAATACAAACCTTGGTTAAATTCTGATTTTATATATATATATATATATTGTGTGTATTTAGGCAGCATATTTTCATTTATACACGTTTCATTAAATAATATAGATAATGTTGTCTATTTATTTTTATGTAAATTTTTTAAATAACATCTGATAAGTTTAATAACATTATCATTGAACGAAGAAAGAAATTCACAATATTGATCCATATTTTTTTAATATATGAGATAAGTGTATTTTTGCTTTAGCGCCTTATATGCCATGTGTATCGTTGTCTTAGAGATCATCTATGTAAACAATGACAGACTATCATCACTGTCATGTCTGTATATTGTTTAATATGTTGTAATTGACATCTTTGATAATGGCAATAAACACACGAAAATATTAGATTATATTAAAAAAATATGGATCAATATTGTGAATTTCTTTCTTTGTTCAACGATAATTTTATTAAACTTATCAGATGTTACGAAAAAATTTACATAAAATAAATAGACAACACTTGTCTATATTATTTAATGTAACGTGTATATATATATATATATATATATATATATATATATTAGTGTATAGGAGCAGCAGATCATTATTCAAACATATATTGTTAAATATAACAGACAACGAATGTCTATGATGTTTTATCATGAGACATTCCAAGCATCGTATAATGGCTTTAGTTTCAAGAGAAAATGAAGACAAAAACTATCCAACATATTCACAACATATTACAATGCATTTAAACATATGGTTCTGTTGATAATATTTCTTTCTCTCATGTGGTCATGCATGACGTCATAGAACCGCATTACGAATTTACAACCTGTGACTTCTATTCTGCAAACATTATCATCACATAGCAAACTCCTATGTAAATAAAACAGGATGTCATCTTTAATGGTGAACATCTCTGTTGTATTGTCCATATAATCACTCTGATGATGGCTCATGTAATAAAGAAATATCCAAGTGTTGGACAGTTTTTGTCTTTATTTTCTCTTGAAACTAAAGCCATTATACGACACTTGAAACGGATCATGATAAAACATAATAGGAATTCACTGTTATATTCAACAATATATTTTTGAATATATATGTGTGTGTGTGTGGTCTTCTCTAACAATCATTTTTTCCAGCAATAATAATAATGGCTGGTTTACTCATTAAGTATACCTGTCTGTTCAAATAGCTAGCCATCTTTGTTGTAGATGCCTGCTCAGGCACATTTGACACCCATAGAGATACCTGGAGTTTATACTGCAACTATGCTGAGCAGGCCTTAGTTACAGTTTCTGGGATAGAGTGCACCATCTGGTGTGATCAACAGGTTGAACAAGCTGTGTGCTCAAATCCTTGGTCATATTGACTTGTGACTTTGTGCTAGCACAACCATTGACAAACAGTTCCATCTACCCAATTTCACTCACAAGACTTAGGTGACCTCATGGTATGGTTTTTAGGCACTTTCCAAAGATGGTAAATTTTGGGATATCCTCCTCAGATAAATCATATGAAGAAGTAACCTTCCCCTGAAATTGATCATGTTAAGAGTCACACATGGTCTGATGGTTGGAATCAAATGTCTTAACCACTCAACTACTTCCCAATTTTTACTGATTTGATTTGTAACCATTTAATAAACCAATAATAAAACTACCTTTATAACCCATAGTCAACAACTTACATGTTAGAAACTATTCTCTTTCATATGTTTTGATTTTAACATTTTAGCTTATTGTATATCTAGGTAACTTCATGAAATCAATAAAAAATGAGCATATCATGATAAAAAGGCCTTTCATCTAAATGTTTATGTTATTATTAAGAGGAAAGACCAAAGTATTTTTTGATTATTTTTAAAAAATTTTGTATCCTTTTTAGAACATTCTAACTTTTGATTAAAAAATCATGTTTTATTTTGCAAAAGTGTCATTAATAAATTCCATTTCAAATTTTAGCGCCTTTTTTTTTGCAATGACAGACATTAATTTTGAAAATCTTGAAAAAAAAAAAAACTGTTGAATTTTAATGAAACTTTCAGGATTTATTCACAAATGCTTGAAATTATTTTAAATATGTTTTTTATTTTGAAAGTCATGGTAAAAAATTTTTTTTTACATCTGTTACCCCTCCCCCATAATTAATTTATGAAAATTCTATCCTGTCTTTTTAGTGAATATATTAGTTAAAAGCAGAAGTCTTTGAAGAATTTAAATCATCAATTTTTTTTTTGTAAAATTGAACAGTTACCAAAATTCAACTCTGAACTGTAACATAAAAAACTCAATAAAATAAAGATATTATTTAATTTCAAAAGCTTTTAGTTGCTTTTATGAATAAGAACAATATTGTCTGAAGGCAAAAATTTTTTTCAAGTCTAAGGCTGTTCTTATACTAAGCTCTTTTTTATCGATTTCATGAAAATACTTATGTATATCCTATAAAGAAAAAGAGAGAACTGGCAAGCTTGGTCAGTCACTTTGAAAGAGCCCCCACAAAGTTTAGTGCCAACAAAAAAAAAATAGATCATAATAAATGACTATGGTTCCATCACAGCAGACATCTCAGTCCATGGCCAGAAACTTGAGAAAGTGCAGCAGTTCAAATACTTCAGGGCAATCATCATGACCAAATATCAAGACCAAAAATCCTTGCAAGAACTGCACAGACTATGACTGCACTGATATTCTCTATATTCCTGTATGCATGTGAGACATGGTTGCTCACAGCTGAGCTACAAAGAAAGATGCAGGCACTGGAAACGAGATGCTATCATACCATCCTGAGCATCTCACACCTTAACTGCATCACCAATGCCCAGGTACTCAGTAAAATCTAGCAGCATATTGGCTCCCACAAAGACCGTCTCACTAATGAAGAAAAAGAAGCTGAGATTGTATGACCATGTTACACAACTAGATTGCCTTGCAAAGAGAGTTCTTCAAGGAACTGTGGTGGGACGTGGGAGGAGGGGAAGACAGAAGAAAAGGTGGAATGACAATATCAAGGAATGGATGGAGAAACCCTTAGCAGAGACCCAGGCTCTGGTACACAACCGCGACAGATGGAGGAGACAGGTGAACAGCTGAGCACATCCACACCCCAATAACTCCTTCCAGAGTTAAGGACAAAAGAAGAAAGAATATCCTATTTTGATAATTAGTTAAATGCATGCCTAAAATACAATATTTTTGCCCAAGCAGCTTAGTTCATAAATTAAAGCTCACATAAGTCTTAACTTCAATTTAACAAAGTTCAGAAATAATAATTTTAAAACATCTGTTTCCAAATGGCACAAAACTGTAATGAATTCAAGAAGCAAAGGTGGATAGAAAAAACATAGAGACAGAGGGAAACATTGATTTTAAATAACATATTTTTGAACACTTTTCAACATTTCTGACTTCTGGACACAGCATTTTTAATGACTAAAAACTTTTGCCCTTAACGCACTCACCTCCAACAACCAATTTAGCCATAGTTGAAACATTACGATAATTGCAAGAATACTCTCCACTGTCTTCTTCAGTAACATCACGAATAATAAGTTTCTGGACATTTTTATCCGTGAGCATCTGATACTTTTTATCTGCAGTCAATCTCAGTTGTTGCTCTCCTTTCTTCCAGACTGGTTTTAAATTATCATCATTCAATTCACAAATAAATGTGACTGTTTCATAGTCTTTGGCCCTGATCTCAGAGAGTTCCCTAGTAAATTCTGGTTTAAGTTCTACAAATGTTAACAAAATGCAAAGATTATGGCGCACAAAAGTATAAACTTCAAGCGCAGAACAAGCGCAAGCAAATGCACATTGTTTTCTTAGTATAGACAAGCGCAATTTCCCCATGAATATTATAAGATCTTCTGAATATAAGTTTATTAAATGATCTTACTAAGTGGTATTTGATAAAGTATCCAATTAAAATTAGGTTAATCATGTGAAATATTTAAAAATAATAAAAATGCCCTTAAAATAAATTATGCAAAGAAAGCTTAGATAATTTATACTAAAAAAGTGAATTATAAATATATGTACAATTTTTTTTTAATCAATTCACCCCAAGCAAGGCAATAATGTCACTAAGACACAAGGAGCTACCAAGAGTGAAAGAGAATGAGAAACATTTAGAAGGAATCAGAAACCCAATCATAATTAGGAAACAAGGGATAAACCTCTACTCCTGTTCAAAAGATCAGGTAAGAGTGTAAATCAGATAATAGATTGAATTAATCATATAATAATTGCATTTACTGGATAAATTCTTGAATAGAAGTCTGAATAGATTGTCATTTTTTTCTACACATCTCAAAAGTACTTTTAAATTTAACATTAAGCACTTTTCAATTTTAGTATAAGTCATTTGAAAAATTGTTTTTATATGAAATAATTAAGCAAAGTCTTTTGAACTAATATTAATTATTAATGATTACATAAATTTTGTATACATTCCACAGATTTTGATAGAGAAAAATCGAGATGTATAAGCAGTCAATTGCTGATACCCACTGAGGAGTGAATGGTGTAATTTCTGAAGGGTCTGTCTACAAAACTCTGAAGTCAGGATGCTGAAGGTAACATCTGATTAATACAGAGTACTTTTCAGTAAAAATTCTGCTGACCTTAAAAAATGTATATTTATGCCAGAATGACTAAAAATTATGAGAATTTAATGTTTTAGGCATTGAATCATTATATTTACAATGTTTAAAAATAATTGAAATGAATTTTAATTACCTTATTCTTTGTAAATAAAAGAAAATTATGCTAAGTGTTACATGACCAATAAGAGTGTTAATATGAAAAGACATCAAAATATAGCCATTGTTCAAGTGTATGATGATCATTCATTATAAGTCATCAAGACTTTGGTATTTTAAACAGTCACGTAACATTAGTTTAAAAAGTGAATTTCAAGTTACCATCTAGATCTTAAAAATTTCTCACTTCAAGGATCAGTTTATTTATATACTTACAAAGTTCATGATGAAAATTTTACAATTTTTCCATTTTTCAAACTAATAATTAAAAAATAATTCAAACTACAATTAACAAAAATAAATATTTTGGTATCTAAAAATATCTTTTCAAAATCATTTTAAGAGCAGTGATGCCTATTATTACAAGTTATAATTTGTAGGTCACTCTGGAATCTTAAAACAAATGATTTATCAGAAAAACAATAATTACCAGTTAAGTGGTAAATGTCATTTTCAGAATTGTTTTTTTAAAACATAATTTTCTGGAAGCTATTTTTATCTACTGATCATATGTTATTTATAATGATCTGACTGAAATCTTTATTTTCCTTGCTAACACTCACCTCCAACAGTCAGTTTGGCCCAAGTTGAAGCTTCACGATATATACAAGTATATTCTCCAATGTCTTCTTCAGTGACATCACGAATAACAAGTTTATGAACTTTTTTATCTGTGAGCATTAGATACTTTTTGTCTTTGGTAAGTCTCAATTGTTGTCCTCCTTTCATCCAAATAGGTCTTGCTTTTTCTTCCCAATATTCACATTCAAATGTAACTGATTCATTTTCTTTTGCTCTGATCTCACAGAGCTTCTTAGTGAAGTGTGGTACAAATGCTACAAAGGTTAATAAAATAAGGAGGTAACATAGATGTAGAAAATTTGTGAAACAAGCACGACACAAGCGCAAGGTAATATAATTAATCTTTAAAAGATTGATACAATTTTTACATTGATTTATTTTTTTTACAGCTTATCAACCTTTTAAAAGTTATTTAAAGCCAGAAAATATTTTTGAATTATAAGAAATTTTTGTAGATAACAATAATTTACTGATACAAGTTCTACTATTTAGTCCATAGCTGGGGGAGAACGGGTGCATTCATAACTTTCCCAAGGATATTTGCACATAAGTGAATATAATGAACCTGGCTGAAATTGGAACTTGGCACCTTGATTTTCAATTGTGAGCAGTTATCTATTACACCATCTATATATCCAAGCTTACAGTACCTGGTATTTTCAAGCAGTCACCCATCTAGGTACTGGCCAGGATCAACATTGCTTAATTTTGGTGATCAGATGAGAAATGGTGTTTCAACATGATATGACTGTATGCCTACAATTTTTATAATTAAGCATAATAGTATTAAAGAATATATAACCTGAGATTATTTTTTCCATAAGTGATTTTTCTAAGAGTTACGATCATCTGGATAAACAGGCAGTTAGCATTTAAATGCTAATTAAAAAGGAAAATATTCATGCAACATCCAATTAAAATTTCAAGATGCATTTCTTCCTTTTAAATTATTTAATTCTATACATAGTAAACAGAAATATCAACAAAATTTTGATTATTATTATACAAAATTTAATACCTAGCAGACAAAATAATATTGATGTTCATTCAAAAATCATGATCATATGACCCATAACCAAGGCAATTATGGATTGCCTTGCCCATAACCCATCAGTGTTATAGAGGCACCATATGTACTGCAGCCACAGTAGCAGTGGTGTATCCTGTGCAAGTTAGCCTGATGGAGCCCAACCCTCTCCAGGATGGTTTTGAATTCAGAGATTTTCCTTCTCCTAGACTGGTTGCTATTGAAACCCAGTCTGACCTGCTATTTATCTCTTCTCCTCCCTGCTTATCTGGGAAGAGAAGAGATAGAATGATAATTTTTCCAAGATTATTAGCATAAAGTGAATGTAATGAACCTAACTGGAAAATCAAACTTGGTTCTCTTATTCCTAAATCCGGGCCACTATCATTACTCTGACATGCATACACTATTAACCCTTTCCCTTCCAATTATTTTGGGAAAAATGTTTAATTTTCAAACAAATTTTTTTTTATTTGTTTTTAATATAGTATCTATGAAACTCGGACACTTTGAAGTGCCTGAGTGATGGCTAATACAACCAGAGTTGACAATGAGTTGACAATTGAACTCATTTCACAGAAGAGCATAAAAAGAATCAATATTAATGTATAGACACATCTGTAGCTGGTTTTTGAACATTCTGTTATAGATGTGTTTATTCATCTGTGTCTGAAAAGACACTTTCAGTAAAAACATATATACACGTCTACGCCAGGGACGGTGTTACAAAATATCATGCTCTAAATAGTTTTTTTTTTAGTTCTTTATCTCTTGTCTTTGAAAGAAAAGGACTATTGATTTAAATAATGTTAAATTATATGAATTTTTGTTTTAGCTTTTCTTCAGGCTAAACAATTTATACAAAATCTGAAAAAAATTTAAAATCTTAATTATATCCAGATATTTCTTATTTAAAATGATATACAGACTAGTTTTAAAAAAATCAAGTTGATTTTTCAGTAATTAGAAATTCACTTTTATCTGTAGACAAAATGAAAATTAAAATGAAAAAGAACACTATATTTTATAAGAACTTACCTAATAAATGTTTTCAAAATATTTTCTTGTAAAGCTCAAAATATTGATCACTTCATAATTATTAAAAAAATAAACCCTGCTATTTTTTTTAGAACAATGCTCTTATCACTGTTAGTCACCATATGATTTTTGTTGTCTTATTCAAATGGTTTCAATTAAGAAGGAAGTAGTTTCCAACTGCTAACCCTTACTTTTATAAAACAGCGAACTAAGAACTTTTTCATTTTTCCTATACACTCACCTTCAACAATCAGCTTGGCCCAAGTTGAAGTTTCACCAAAAATGCAAGTATATTCTGCTTTATCTTCAAAACTGACATCATGAATAATAAGTTTCTGAACTTTCTTATCTGTGATTATTTCATACTTTTTGTTTGCAGTCAGTTTTTGTCCACCTTTCATCCAGATAGATGTCAGGTTCTCATAGGACATTTCACAAACAAAAGTGGCAATGTCTCTTTCTTGTACTCTGAGTTGACCAAGTTTCTTAATAAATTCAGGTTTGAATTCTACAAATGTTAATGTAATTAATATATATGACATGGTTTAAAAAAAGGAAATGGGCATTATTAATAATGGCATAGAATAGAACATGCTGGATTTTGAATATGAAAAATATGAATGAATATAATTAGAGTATATATCTGAAATATGACAAAATATACTCTAAACATTGATTTGTTTTACTCAAATTTTGCAAATTTTTTGAACTCTCAACTTGTTGAGTTTCTTAGTGAATTCTGACTTAAATTCTATAAATGTTAATGAAAATGGTATATAACATGCCCAATGAAGTATTCAATTAGAAATTATTATTATTATTGTTATTAATAGTAATATATTAATTTTTTATTACACTTGTTTGATTTCAAATGAGGTTACCATGATAACAGAACTAGCATTCAAATAAAAAATTCTATGGAGAAGAAATGTTCATGCAAAATTAAAAAAATTAAAATGTGCCTTGAAGACCCCATGAATCAGGCAAACATAAAAGAAATAAAACAGAAAAATAATGAGTTTTTTTCTAATATCTATAAAAGGCAACAGAAAAATGTGCATTTTGTGCCAATCAAAGATATTGATTCATTTATTCAGACTAACATTCTCATCTTTGTCTTCATCAATTACAATTCATATTTTAATTGTTTTTAATTCAATAAAGATGATCAACAAAGAAGCTTAATCTGAATATATCAAAATAACAATAACAGATCACATGGGAAATATTTTAGTCTGAAAGAAATATTCATAAGTGGAGCAATAGAATTACAAATGTTTAAAGTAAATCAAACCAATAGATTTTGACAAGTATATAGAAATTAATCATTTTACTATCTTAAACATTTATGAATAGATTATGCTAATTATTTTTTTTATTCAGGTGAGTGAGCTCAGACATTCAGGAGTATATCACACCAACCATCAAGGTCCTGCATCAAGGTCAGAAGGTCATTAGGGTGACATCCTATATTATATAATTGGTCAATGTAGATGGATATTGGACGATTAACCCATCTTGTGCCATGGTTAGGTGCCCAGAGCAATAAATCACTAACATGTTCTTGTTTTGCTCACCAGCAGTGGTCCTTCAAAGTGCAATCTGCATTCACATAAGATTGTAGAAATATCAGGGATAGATCCATAGAGCAGTGATTTTGCTGGATGTTGTCTCCAAGAGACTTAAGTATAGCTCTCAGCATCTGAGTGTAGGTTCCATTAAGCTTAGACTCAAAGGTTTTAGTTAATGTCCAAGCAGTAGCACCATACATTAACTACAGTGGCACGGAAGAATCTCTGCTTGAGGTTGTCTGGTAGACCAGATTTCCAGATTATATCCATTTTATTAAAAGCTTTAGCTATGCAAATCCTTTTCAGTAGAATTTATTTTGCTTCTTAGGTATGTAAAATATTTGACAGATTTTATTGATTCACCTGAGACCGTTTGTATCGAGCCTTGCTGGGTGAAGCTTATAATGAAGCTCAAGTTGTATATATTCTAGAGTAAACTAAAAAAATCATCTAGGCCATGGAGATATTGTTCTCATCTTGGTTGATATAGATGTTATTATAGACACATTTCCAAGTACCTTCTGGTCATCATCAGGTGTCCATTGATATCTGTTGATTATTGTGCTATTCTATCCCTGTGATATCAGTTGTTTGTTTCTGCTGAACTGGTGCATCACTACCAGATCCAAGGATTGAACTCATGAACACTAGATGACAGTAACACATGTATAACAAACTCCTACATCTAATATGCCAACATCCCAAAGGATATTAGTGGTGTGTTTTTTTGGAGTTTTTCTTTTCCTGATGATGACCAGAGGGTACTTGGTTGAAACATTGTATCTTTAATAACTTATCTCAACCAGGATGAGGACAATAGTTCAAAATAATACAAAAACATTAACAATTACCTCTCTCAGAAATGAAATACTTAAAACAAAATATTAAACCATGAAGAGTTATTTATTACTAACCTTTTATCATAATCAACATAATATTGTACCTATCAAATTTTTGACATTCTGGGTATAGATAATCTGCTTGCCAGAAATATTAGATGATTTACTTCATATAACATTTGGAAATATAAATTTACTTGCTCCAGTTTCTACTTTCATATTTGCTAGAACAACAGAGAATTCAGAAAAAAATATTAATTGTAATCAAAATTTGTTGTATGTAATATAAAAAAATCTCTTGGTCTTCCATAAGATCCATTCCTTTGTATTCCAATGGTTACACCTGTAAAGAAAATATTATTATTATAAGAAATAATTTATGAGTATAAATTCACACTTACCTTGCACAATCAATTTAGCCCAAGTTGAGGTTTCACCAAAAATACAACTATATTCTGATTTGTCTTGCATAGTGACATCATGAATAATAAGTTTGTGAATTTTCTTGTTGGTGATGATTTCATACTTTTTGTCTGCTGTCAGTTTTTGTCCTCCCTTCATCCAAATTGGTTTCAGGTTCTCTTGGGACATTTCACAGACAAAAGTAGCAGTGTCTTTTTCAATTACTTCCTGGTCAGTGAGTTTCTTTGTGAATTCTGGTTTCTTGGCTATAATACACAAGAAATATATAAGATATTAATTTCTGTTTGAATTTCTAAAATGATGAATTATCATTATTTACACCGTATTCAGACTATTGTTGTTGTAATCATGTTTCAGCCATTGTGTCATCTAGCCTTCCTAAGGTGAATATCAATCTGGATAATCAAGACATGACAGCCAGTAGCAGTAGTTACAGTTAGGTTAAGTTTAAAGCTCCAATTTCACTACAGTAAATTGTCCTACTGGACAATGGCCTAGTGGATTAAAGCATTGGTTTGAGAATTTGTTAGTTCAATAGTGTGTATTTGCACTCAATGGAAACAAATAACCAATAACTGAACAGTACTAAATAAGAACTAGACATGAGCAGCCTACCTCAGTAGATTAAATAAAGGATTCAGTTCAGAATTCCCAAATTGATATATACCTGATGAAGGCCAGAAGGCACAATGGGTGAAATGTTGTTATAACAACTAAGATGAGGACAATAGTTCAAATATAAATAAGTGTAAATAATATATTAGTACAAAGAAAAATAAAATGATCAGTGTAAATGAAATCTTATTATTAAAAAAAAAATTATACTGTTTATTGCAAAGAGTCAAAGATTAGCAAAATTACAATGACATGTGCATTCATAAATATACGTGAATTTTATAAATATTTCAACTATTTTTGTTTGTATTGTATGTAAATCTTTTTTTTTAATAATATATATGATATAATTTTTTTTTTCTTTTTACTGTGAAGTCATCTTACATTTAAAGTCACTATATAAAACTAAAATTTTGGCATTACATTTTTGTGCCCACAAAAAAAAAGCAGTGTGTCAAAAGAATGGTTTCTCCATTAATGCCACTATTATTTTAACTACTTTCACTCCTCGGCAATGTTTATTGTTTGAAAAAACAATGATTAGAATCTTAATAAAACAAACATATGGAAGTGAATTCATACATTTTCTTTGGGCTTGAAAATTGAAAACAAAAATAATAAACATTTATTAGATTTTTTATTTCCACTATTTATTATATTGTTTATTTGAATGGTTGATAAAACATTGGCTAATTGCCAATCAATTCAAACTTTATAAAATGGTAAATAATAAGGATTTCTTTATACTTGGTTCACATTTTAATAATGTAGTAAATGTTTATAAATTTATGAATAGAAAATTATTTTTATATTTATTTCTTTATAAATTGGCAATTGACAAATATTGCATTAGCTTTAATACAATTGTATTAGTTTTTAGAATGTTATAAATATAAAATTATTCTTGCAAATGCACAATCTAATAGTGTTTAATATTTTTGTTTTAAATTCTCAAGAACAAAAAATGTATGAATTTACTGTCATCATATGTTTAAGGTTCATTACAATTCTAATTATTGCTTTTTAAAACAATAAACGTTGTCAAGGATTGAAGGTAGTTAAAATGATAGCAGTGTCAAGGAAAAAACTGTACTTTTGATACCATATTTCATGGGCACAAAGGTTGAAGATTGCCAAAATGTTATTAATAACATTACAAATAGAAAACAAAAAATACAAAACTAATTAATCTTATTTGCTGAAAAATTTAATATAAAATATCTATTGCAAAATCTGAAAATGAAATAACTACTGAAAAGAATTACAAGTATAAAAAGAAATAAAATTTTAAATACCTAAAAAATTACATGCAAAATACAAACTAATAGCAATAAGCAAAAGAAATATTAGGAGTGTTGAAAAGTTCTCAGTCTGTCCAAATATTTAAAAAAATATATTTTGATTTTCACTCATTTGGTCAGATTTTGCAAAGTGGGTTGTGGTTGAGAACTTTCCCACACTGCCTTATCTTGCAATGTAAGCAAATATCGCTGCAAGGAATATGCCAGCAAGCTTATATCTTGCTAGAAACACAGACAAAAAGAAACAATACTATGGTAAATCATACATTTGTAGCTTCTAGCAAGATATATGTATTATGTGCAGAGCAAGCAACATTTTGCATGTGCAAACTTTTTAGCTTCATTGACCTCTATGTCATCACCTGCCTCTATAGCAATAATATATTCTATTTAATATTCTATAATTTATAATTATTGGTTCTAATCAAAGGAATGACTGCTGAGAATATCCCTACTCCCTAAATTTATAAACAAATACTACAGATGCAATATAAATGGACCAATTCTTAGTCTAACAAATGTTTTTGTTATTTCTTGAAGTCAGAACATAATAATCACTTGACTTTATCCTTTTGTTTGTGAACACAATTCTGACTTTGTGAACTTTTTGCCTTATTACTGTTGCTTTGCCTAGTTTTGACTTGCATGTATATTGTTTTCTAAGTATTATTTTGCCCTGTTCTTTTTCTGTTTCTTATTGTTTGAGAACTTTGTTAATTCTGTTTGTTTGGAATTTTGCCAATTACATTTAACCATGGTCAATTATTCCACAATAATTATAAAATCATGATGTACATATATTTTAATGATAATTCTCATCTTGTGATTATTTCTTTCTTGTTTATTCATAGTACTAAGCTGTCTTCTTCCAATTCTTCCAGTTTTATGACAAAATTCCTTGTCACAACTCCAGAATTGTAATTAAAAAAATAGTACAAAATGCACAAGTACTAAATGAACAAAATGGTTACAAAAAAGTCTCAGAAGACATTTGTTCATCATACTACTCGATAAAATACTGCAGTTGCTAACATAACTTATTTTCTTTTATATTTGCCCTACTATTACTTTTATTATTAGTTTAAAATTAAGGCAGTCCAGTTAAGAGTTTATAAGAAATAAACTCTATTTCCCACACAATTAAATACCCACATACACACGTTATTAAAACATATCCAAACTATTTTCTACCCAATAACAAACAGACAATATTTACAAACTTGCCTAAAAGATCCTATAATACAACACACACTTTAAATCAAAGTGTCTGTTAGTTAGAAATTAACATCATCATGTGAAATATTTGATCAGTCAGAGAAAATTAAAACCCTACTTTTCTCAAGCCTACTTTCTTTAAAAAAATATCTTATAAAAATTTGACTTTCAGGAGCAGAGATGTGACAGTCTCCAAGCCATTCAAATACAAGAGAAGACATGCCTATATAACTTTTTGCTTCGCCTCAGCGCATTCTGAAAAAAACATGTGTCAGTGAATTCAAACAAATCAATTCCAACAGCTCAGATGGTCAGTGAATATTCACTGACAATCAAAGTCTTTTCTAAACTATGGTTTTTTTCTGTGGTTCAACTAACCAAAGACTTTAACTCAACTAAAGACTATTTTTACTCCTTTTTGACTCTTTTGAATTCATATACATATGTTTGCAAATACAAATGATCTATTTAACAGGCATACCCATGTTTTCTTTTTTTTCCATTTTATTATTGTTTGGAATTCAGACATTCAGAGATTTAACATAAAAAAAAAACCTGGATGACTGAATCTCCTACAAGATACATACTCCAAATTTTGCTAAGTAAACCCAAGAAAAGGATTACTCCCAATGATGAAAACATTGGTTATCTGTTAATACAATTCAATATTTATACCTTCAAGAATCAGTTTGGCTGATGTAGAAATACCACCAACAACACAGCTATATTCTCCTTTGTCAGCAACAGTCACTTCATGAATGACAAGTTTGTGGGTTTTCTTCTCCATGATAACTTCAATTCTTTTATTTGCTTTTATCTGCTTACCATCTTTCATCCAGACAGATTTCGTATTGTCCTTAGACAATTCACAGGTAAATGTTGCAGTTCCTTTTTCTTTTACCTTCATATCTGTCAGTTTCTTGGTGAACTGTAGCTTAAATCCTATAACAATAAATTACATCACTTGAATAGAAAAATCAATTTCCATTTCTTTCAGCCATTAGTAGGGGTCAGTGGAGTTTAATTTTCAATGTTGTTTATTCTTTTGTTTTTGGTTTATAATTTTGCTCTACAGTGTAATATTCTTTCTGTTGATAAGTTCTCTTCATTTTTACAACTTTTATTTAACGCATAATAGTTTGTATGAAAAAATAAAATCATTAGTTATCTTGTAATATGCTTGGTTTAGATTTTTAATCAGATATTTCATCTGACTTTGTTTTCTGTTGTTATAGTGGGTCATGAAAACACAACCACAAAATTCGAACATTGCCAGCAATCAGTTGTCAGCAGTAGGAGAAACTTTGGTTTAGCAAAGTTGTTTACTGTGTCTTAAAGGTTATATGATATATCAACAAGATTTTTAAACTTTTAAAATAAAATATTGTTTAATCTACAAGCTGTTGTTTTTTGATAAAGTTAAATTTCCTTTAAAAATCATTGATGCAGCAGGATTTTAAGCAACAAGTAAATTTAAACTTTTATTGTTTAACTTATTTTTTTTTAATTCTTTGTCTACTAGATCATCAAATTCAGTAAGTGATTTATTTTCTTTAATATAAATCAATAAACTGCAGATCATGTCTATATGGTCTTATGAATTTATGTGATTTATACAATATTTATTTTTTGTTTTTTTGGTAGGAAAGAATTGTTTGTTACTTTGAATACATTAGTGCAAATGAATCTAGTTTATATTTTCTGATTAAAGAAAATTATAATTGGCCCCTAAACTTTAAAGAGTTTCAACCAGAATGGTCATCTGATTGTAAAAGTACATGCTCTAAAGAATTAAAGGATTTTGTTTTTTAATCCAACATAGTTTTTATTACTTTAAATGTTATTTTTAGTGGATACCCATATTTGAGTAGACTTCAGTTTATTTTAAACAGCATTTTATTTCATCTACCAGCCTGATCACTGTTGAAATAAAATATTTTTTTTGTTTTTTTACTGTTTGAAATAGACACCTTGTTTTTATTTTAAATAGTGTATATTAGATCTAAAAGACTGTGCACTGTTTAAAATAAAAAAAAAAACAGAAGACATGATCAAAAATGAGAAGGCTCTGGATCTGTTCTAAGGACCTTTCATCCCTGGTATCTTTATCATGTTCATCATAAAGATCATCAAAAAGTATTAAAGTCTTAAGATTTTTCAAGTATAGTTAGGGTAATGACCTATGTAAAACAAGTATAATAAATTACATCTTATAAAATATTATTTTATCACAATGCATATATTAAGATGATTAGTATACTTTGAATTAGAAATAATTTTTGTTATCCTAATAAATTAATTTTAATTTGAGATATATAGTAAAATTTCAGTCTTTTTAATTAACAATATGCATACACAATAGCTGGTGTACTTCCTTATCAAAATAAAATTCTAATTGTTGAGATTAAAATGTATGCAGTTTTGAACTAATACAAACTAAAATTATGGTTATATCAGTTAAAAAAATCTGCGAAAAAATTATTACATATAAGTTTAGAATATTAGTAACTTCAGATTATAAGAAAATGTTTACATGCAACAAAACCTGCAATAATTAAAAAAATAAAGCAGCTTTAAATTATTTTTAAATGAATATAAGTAAGCAAAAAATAATTAGTGAATGATGAAAGTATTTCATCATTAATACAACTTATTTTTAATGTAAATATTTTGCAGCAATTAAATAAATTTGTGCGAATGTGCAGCATTAAAGCGCTCATAAAAGACTTCAACAAGATGGACGACAGTAAGCAAAAGAACATTGATAATGGACAAATAGAACATACAATTCACATGCAAAATAATGTCAGGTGCAATTTTGTAGAGAGATGAAAAGAATATAAGACAGATAATGAGTTTCAAAGAAAGATGTGCTAGCAAGCAAACATCTTGCTGGAAACACAGACTAGCGCTTTGGCTTCTCATCTCAAAACCAAGATGAGTCTGCACTTTCCAGCAACATATATAATATACAGAAGACATGTGCAGAAAGCAGCATTTTACAGATATAAACTCACCAGCTTCATCTGACTCTACATCGCCAACTGCTTCTGTGAATCAGTAACAATGTATATTTCAATTGCAACAAAGTCAACTTTTTTTTTCAAATTATTATTCTTCATTTAACTCAAGTTATAATTATTTGACTGAAACCTTATTAAAGCTGGAAACAAAAAGGGCACTTATACATAACATTAAAAAGAGACAGGTGAAATTTCTAAGGCACATAATGAGAAAAGGTGGCTTTGAAAATTGGACACTCACAGGGCATAGTGAAGGCAAGAGGGACAGAGGTAAGCAGTGCATAACATACCCAACAAGCTTGTGTAATTGGTTGGAAAAACAGGGATTAGGAGAGATAGAAAAAAATTACTAAGTTACATATAAAATTGGAATTATAGATCTGCAGGTGGCAGAACATTTATTGGCATGAAAACTTGAATCAGAAGTTCAAATTCTAAGACTGATGCGTTCACTTTGTATTAATGCCTTTAGGAAAGATATGAATGTATTTCTTCTCCATATTGCTTTGAATAAATAATAAGGCAGATTTATCTCTCAAAATGGCAACCAGTCTAGAAGGATAACTGAATTCAAAACTGTAATAAAGACAATGGAAACAACTCCATTATTTTTCCCCTGATAGTACTCCCATATCCATGGCTCTGAGTCCTGCACTTTCAGGACCATTGAGGGTTTTTTTCATTGACTGATTTGTTTTCTACAGCATATCAACCCATTGCAGGTTATTTAAAGCCAAAAAATACTTTTGAAAGAAATTATTATTTTAAAGTTAATAATGATTTAGTGATACAAAAGACCATCAAAGGGATGTACTAGTCTGATCTCATATTGAATGAGGAGTTCTGCCAGAGGACTGGCCAGCCAAACTTCCTGCACACCATCACTCAGTGTTGTGTTCACTGGCTTGGTCAACACTGATGACCACCCTACCAGAATCATCTACCAGTTTGACCTGCTATTTGCAAACTGGAGACAATTTTGTGGCAGATCACACAGCCGCTGAAGGGACACAGTCCACCAGGACCTTCAGCAGATTAATCTGCCATTGGAAGATGTTCTGACACTACCAAAATTGTGAGAGGTGGCTCTTGTAAGTTCAATGCCTTCATGGCATGAGATTTAGCAGCAGTACTGGGCTCTCTACCATTAAAAAATAACTATTTTGAGACTGCAATGACTTCATATTCATTGGCCAAAGCTGTCTCAACCTAACCTGAATGAATGCCAATAAGATATACAATTAAGATAGATCATTCAGGTTTTATACATTTTATTTGTTTACAACTTCATAAGATTTAGTCAAATATTTCTAAAACATGAGATCATCTAGTAATTGACTACTAATTACAACAACTATATCTACAAAGCAAAATACAATTTCATTGTAATTATAATTCCTGTTATACACTTACCTTCAACAATAAGTTTGGCTGTTGTAGAAATACTACCAATAACACAACTATATTCTCCTTTATCAGCAGTGGTTACTTCATGAATGACAAGTTTGTGGATCTTCTTCTCCCTGATTATCTCAATTCTTTTATCTGCTTTTATCTGTTTACCATCCTTCATCCAAACAGATTGCATGTTTTCCTTTGATGTTTCACATGTAAATGTTGCAGTTTCTTTCTCTTTCACTATTGTCTCTGTGAGTTTTCTGGTGAATTCTGTTTTCATTTCTAAAATAACATTATATTGTACACATAATTAAGTCTCTTCATAAAAAGATTTGAAGTTGTTAGTGAAAGTATTATGCAGAGTACTTACTGAAAGTAAGGTTTCTTTCAAAATAATTTCAACCCTAAATAGGTCCAGAGAGAGAATATCCTTTTTCTGACTACTCTCTATACATCTCTTTTACATCAAGTTTTCAAGTATGTTCTATTAATATATTATATATTTAACTATCATGTTTATAAAGAATACTAACTACATAAAACAATAGTTGTCCTTCAAGTATCCACAGAGAATGGTTTCAGGATGCCCACTGATATCAAAATACAGATACTCACATTCCTGATATAAAATTGAGCAATATTTGCATATAATGTATGCATGTTCTCTCGCAACATTTAAATCATCTCAAGTAAGAAAAGTTCTGATATGAAAATTGTATATAGTCTATATCTGGAGATATTTATGAAAAGTAATAGTGCTTAAAGTAGTTTACCTGTAAACAAAATCATAGTAATTTCCTTTCGAAGATATTTAGGTGAAAAACACCAGGATCTTAAAAATCTACTAAAAATCAACTAATTATTAGATAATAAAATTTTTGGTACTTAATTAATCAAATATGTACATATTTTAAAGAAGGTTCTATTCCAACTTTCAGAGAAGAAAAAATACAGGTGCACACAACACAGGTAGCAAACAAATAATACACAAGGTGAACAATGTTCAAACAACAAGTGCTGGAGAGACAGGTTGAAGGTTTGTGAAATACTGGAAAGATACAACAGAGTATGTGAACACATCATTCACAGGAATTTCACAGACTCAACACATGGTAAATTCAATTTTTAGCTTTTGGCAACTTTCCTGGAAATTGATTTGAATATTTTTATGTATGGTTGGTTGAATCTGCAGATGCAAAACTTGCAAATATGGGTGAATATGCTAATATCATAAATATAAATAGATGAAAATGAATTGTTCCTCTTAAGATAGGACAGAGATCACATAACAGGAACCAGAAAAAGGGAGTCAGATCTAAACTTTAGTCCAAAGTTCTATTATTTCATCTTTTGTAATTTTCTACAGAATGACATGATAAACTTTAAAATTCATTAATTAAGTCAAAAAGATTCCTATATAGATTTTTCAGTCAATGTTTTTTTTCTTTTTGAGCAATAACAAAGATTTGTATAATATTTAATATATTATTAGTAAAAAAACAAAGACCTCAAACAAGAAATAACCAAGTTGTGTCTAACAATAAGTGTTCTTATTTTTACTCTAATTGTTTCCTTATAAATATTTTTCATTAACTTCTTCCCACCAATTATTTGGGGGGAAAAACGTTTCATTTTTGGACAATTTCTTTTTGTTTTTAATACAGTAACTAAGAAACTGAGGCATCTTGAAGTACCTGAGCAATGACTAATACCTCTACCAGACATATGAGTTGACAATTGAACTCATTTCCAGGCCAGAAGTGCATAAAAAGAATCAAGATTGATGAATAAAAATGTCTGTAGCTGGTTTTTTAACGTAATGTTTTGAATATGTTTATTCGTTCATGTCTGGAAAAGACACTTTCAGTAAAAACGTATATACACGTCATTGCCATGGGAAGAGGTTAAGCTAATTTCAGAATTCTACTTCTAAATGAAACAATAAAATTTTTATACTGCAATAACAAGTAAAAGAAACTTTGATATTATATTTTATATATTAGTAAAAAAAATAAAACTCAAAAAAGACAAGCTATGTCTCACATCAAAATTCCTTATTTTTACTTTGTTTGCTTATAAGTATTTTTAAGTAAGTTAAATGCTTTTATACTAAATACAGAACTATACTCCTAGATTCTTGAATGAAACAATGAATTTTTTATACTGCAATAAATAAAAGTGACTTTGATATTAGTTAAGTATCTTACAAAGCAAAAACAATAACAAAAAAGAAAACATTAAATTAAAAAATCAAGTGAATTTTGTTATTACATTTCAATACAACTGACAAAGAAAAATATTTTATAAAGTCTGTTATACACTAACAACAGGAAAGAAAAAAATTGAACAAGCAAAATCCTAGAAAAGCAATACTGAAATATGAATGATATTTATAAAAGAAAATTATCAGCTTTCTTCATCAACCACTTTCTTTATATTTTATTTCACAAGTAATGAATAAACATTTATAATGTTTGAGCATATGTTTTAACACTAGTGTTTGAAAGCAGATATACTCTTAAGTACCTAATAGACAAAGAGGTGGACATGTTTTTCAGGTTATTTTTCAGGAAATTTTATAATCCCCACAAAGCTGATTAAAACCAACCTATTTATGAATTATGCACTTTTTGAATGTTTACAGAATTTTCCAAGCCCCTTTTTATTAAGACCCTCTCATTTATTGCACAATGAGAAAAATTCTAACCCCACACAACCAATTAAGAACCTATCTTGTATCAGGTACATAAAAATAACTAAATCAGCTATAGTATAGTAGGATACTATATATTTCAAGATTCTTGATAAAATCAAAAGAAGAATCTGCAATGTTATTGGTCCTGACCTGGCATCTCAGTTTCAGTCACTTTCCCACCACCATAACATAGTCTTCCTGTGCCTTTTCTATAAATACTTTCATGATAATACCACTAGATTAGCAGCAAGGTCTCATCATCTTACAATAGAAATGGCTAGATGTAATAGTAAGTGCGCTATGCTAACAGTTTCTCCTAGTGAACTTCTTATTTGTGAAACTCTTTTAGCTTCTTATTTCCCCATCAACTTTGATCTTCAAAATTTTAAATATAATGTCAATCGTTATCTTGTATTCTTAATTACTGTTCTTTTATTGTTCTCTTGCCTTAATGTTTTTTTTTCTCATATTCTCTCACACTCAGTAACCTCTTGTGGCTTAGTGGCTTGGGATGAAATAATTAAAAAAAAAGATACAAGTTTTTGTTTTTATCATAAAAAATGGTGAAATTATGTTTTGATCAAAAGAAAGGTTTACAGTTATCAAAAGATGTCATTGAATAAAGGTAAAGCAAAGAAGTGTTGAAGGAAGAGATTAATGGATTGGAGTGTAAAAGAACAAGAACAAATATATAGCTTTAATCTAAGAACTACTTTTACTACAAAAGAAATTAATTTTATTTCTTTTGATCTAATGATACTAATAAAAGCAACTTCTGCAAAAAAAAAATACATGCTTTTATACTCAAAAATCTGCTGTTACAAAGCAATAATTCTGAAAATAATTCCAAGAGTTATTTAAACAATTGAATACATTTTTGTTTTATTTAAGTATAGTCCTCACAATTTGGCTGATCCATTCTATGGCCTTCATGCAATGAAAGTCATGTTGAACAGATACACTTCTAGATTCTTTCACATCAATGTGGGCTCTAACCTTGAAGTTTCGTTTGTTTCTGATAATCATCAACATTTCTGATGTCATCAGTTCCCAAAACAGCATTTATGATGATAACAACTATTTATAATATTTCAATAGTAAGACCAATAAGTCCAACAAAGTAAAACTGGCAGCTACTCTCAAATATGACCTCTAATCAGTTGTTAACAGGGGCAAGGAATGGCTTGTAAATTTAATAGCAAGTCTGATAGATCCAACAAAGTAAAACTGGCAGCTGCCCTCAAAAATAACCTCTAGTCTAACTGGGACAAAAATGGCTTTTAATTTTAACACCTCTAAAACAAAACTGCTATCTTTTAATCATCATAAAGAACCATTTTTGTCTTCCATCAGCTTGGCTGATGCTAACCTCCATAAGAGCAACTTATTGTGCATTCTTGGTTTCACATTTTCCACTGATATAAAGTAGAGTGATTATATTGAATCACTGGCTGCTAGAAAATTTGGTTCATTGTGTTTCACCAGACAATTTTTCTTGCACATTTATAAACCTAACATCCATCCATAAATTGTATAATACTGCCATAATTGATCTTGTGCTCCTGCTATATATCTTGAGGTTCTTGACAAAATCCAAAGAAGAGTCTGTAACGTTATCAGCACTGACCTGACATCTCAACTTCAGCCACTTTCCCACTGTCATTATATGGCTTCCCTCTACCTTTTCTATTAATATTTTTATGGCAATGAATTTAAGAACACTATTAGTTTGGCGACTAGGTCTCCTCATTTTACTGTTGAAATAGATAGATGTAACCATGAATTCTAACAGTTTCTTTCCTTGCACTTCTCATCTCTGGAACTCTTTTTCAGTTTTTTACATCCTTGGTCTCTTACAATCTCCTAAAATTTAAATGCAATGTCAATCATCATTTACTGTCTTTCTGAATCCTGTTCTCTTTATTGTCCGTTCTCCTCACTAATATATTCTCATTCTCAGTAACCCTTTGCATCTTAGTGGCATTATCACCTTGCTTGGGGTGAAATAATTAGAAAAATAATATGAAAAGAGGTGTTTCTTTTTCTAGTAGTATAAAGTTAAAAACTGGTAACAAACAAAAAAATTATAATCATTCACAGCTACTTTTGTAATATATGAGTGTCATTTGAAAGGTAAGGACATTTATTTTATTATCTTGGCCCACAACAGAGCCAGCTGTTGATGGTATGGTAGTAAAGGTTGAACCAATAAACCATACTGTTTTTTTTGCCTTGTTACAGACTACAGCTGAGCAACAGCCAGGTAAAATAGTGTCTGATATGAAAGTGCATACAAAGCAGAAGTGTTTCACAGAATTCTTTCATATAAAAAACAAATTTCACCCATTGGCATTCAACAAACATTGATCAAACAAAGACCAAACAGTAGAATTAAGCATAGATGGTGGGTAATAAATTTCAGCAGTAGTGACAACAATTTGTGTGATATTCCATGATTATGAACACCACATGCAGACTTCTGGTCATCACTAAGAAAGATACATAAATAATGCTGGTGACTATGTGAAAAAAACAGCTTTTTGAAGTTTAAAACTTGTTCTTCCCAATTATGATATCTGTGCTTGAT